TAAACCTTATTTTAACCAACCGTTTCAACATCTCTCATGCCAACAACTTTTATAATTTAGCATAATCTAAATAAAAATGATTTGAATGTTTCTCTACTTTTCTTTCCTGGTGAAGACAGTGCATAGTAAAAATAACACCAATATAGTATCACATTTTTTTAAAAAGCAAAAGTGAATAAAAAGAGCAGAAGTAGAATATATAGATTAACCTCATTTTGGAGTATCATTAGGTATCCAAATAACAGTTTTAGTAACCTCTGGTCGCTGTTTAGTCAGGGAAAATAGTGGAAAAAGTCCAGGAATCTACTAGGATGTTCTAAAATGTCTTTCAGCTACTCTTTTTAAAAAAATTGATTAAAAAACCTAACATATTTGATTATGCGAAGATGGTAACAGCTGTACCCGCCACCTCCCACAACCACATCAAAATTACAACTAAAACACAGAACAACCATCACTCAGAACCTCCTGAAATCTAGCTGAACAGAAGCCCTACAAGGAGGGAACTGAAGAAGCACCGAGACCAAAACCTTGAAGGCCAGAAGGGAGTGGCAAGAAATATTCAAAGTGATGAAAAACAAGGAACTACAACCAAGATTGCTCTACCCAGCAAAGCTATCATTAAGAATTGAAGGTCAGATAAAGAGCTTCTCAGACAAGGAAAAGCTAAAGGAGTTCATCACCACCAGACCAGCACTACAGGAAAAGTAGAAGGGTCTTCTTTAAGAAGAAGCTAATGAACAAAAGAATCTGACCAACTAAATAGACCTAGAGACATTGACGCAGGCAACAGACGATCATATTTCAGAGGAAAGAGGGAAGGGGGGTGGAGGATGGGAAGAGATTAACCAAAGAAGTTATATGCATATATGCATAGCCCATGGACACAGTCAATAACGGGGTGAAGGCCTGGGGAGGGGGAGAATGGGGGGGGGAAATGGGACACCTGTAATACTTTCAACAATAAAGATACATTTAAAAAAACAAAACAAAAACAAAAAAATCTAACATATTTGAAAATAAAATTAAAATAGTCATGAATAAATGCTGATCAATCTCTATTTCTTTCAAGAAACAGAAATTAATTAGTCAGTGCTGACCTGAAGTAAATTCATCAAAATGCACTCCTAAAGTTAATAGCAAATTGTAACGATATAGAAACCTCCCAGCTTGGTCTGCCTGGTGTAAGCTTCCTGGAAAAGCAAGCTATATATCCAGCTTACTTTGCTTTTCCCCTGTTTGTTTTACCAGCAGGCCTCCCCTCACCACTAAAATAGCCACACACAGTCCTACCTACTTTCTATGCAAATGGAGTCCATTCAAAACAAATCTCAGAGGTAGCCACGGAGTGAAAAAGGAGGGAGTCCGAGAGGAGGGGCGTGGCTTTAAGATGGTCCGAATACTTTAAATCCAGCTGATTAGGTGGGAATAGGGGCCACTGTGGGTATGAGTGAAGTTTTAACTGTCTTATCTTTAGTTTTCTTAAGTGATGCTCACAGACTATGGTTGGAAGTCATTTGTAAGTGTATAATCACTTCAAATTTGCTTCAAGGCATAGTGAATGAGCTTAACCAAATTCACATTTTACATCAATAACGGACTTTACTGGGCTCTTGGGAATTACATTTCTAAATGTCTCTGAAAGAACTCTCCTTAATGCCATGTGTGTACCTACCTTTCTGTAGTCCCCAGTCAATCCTACCTCCATAAAGTGCTCACCCCCCACTCCCACAGTAGGTCTGAGGACGGGTAAATGATCAGATTACCACTCAGGGCAAGAGTCACAAACCCTATGTTACTGTTTACCATTTAGATCTTTCTGTTCATTGAAAAAAACAAATACAGTGCTTTTTGGACCATTCTCATCTATCCTATGAGGTCAGATCCCCTACTTTCTAGGCTATTGTGAATATATTGAATCTTCAGTGTTTTTAACTTCACCTGGAAAAGATGTTTTACATCTAAACTTCTATTTCTCAAATACAGTCTGTTTGAACAAGTCTTTATTTTTTGCTTTTCTGATTTATATTGAATACAACCTTCTGTTACCAACACTAATTATATGTATATATATGCATATATATAATTATTTCTATCCATCTTTTTTTCTTCTTCAAAGAAATGAGTGAGACATGAAAAAATTAGGCAAATATATGTCAGGAAAATGAGTTCGAACCAGAAGTGAGCTTGTGTCTAAATTTCAAACCCCAGAGTCATATAATCCTAGCTGCGAGCCTTCTAGAGGTCATATGAGGAATGGAAACATGATCAGTTACAAAATTAATTGCCCGTAAGTTAAAACAGCTCAGTGTTATATGATCATGGTTTTTCAGGGAAGTAAGAGACCACGGGACCCAGCAGGGCAGTCCTGGTGGTGGAGGAACTTTACAGCTTCCCAGAGGGAGGGCTCATCTGAGTTTCATAAATTAGCATTGATGGGACAGGTCCACAGATTTCCTTTTAGAAACCACTGAGCTAAAACCAGAGTCCTGATGCCTCTTCCTGACCTTTATTTAGGCTGGCTGTTGGCTGACAAGGCACGACTCTCAAACAGTTGTAAGAGAAGCTAGGGCTTCGAGTCAAGGAGATTTTGTAATGCACTGGAAAGTCGTTCCTATGTTATTCTCGGGAGCCTCCACAGTAAGACTATAGTTGCTGAAGCAATAATGCAGGGTGGAACAAAAACAGGCTTGCAGTCGTTTGTATGGAAAACAGTACAATAATTAACTAATAATAATACAAGAGTAAATTTTGTGTTTCACATACTCCTAGCTATAAACCTACTTCTGCCCCACCCTGCACATCAGAGGTTGGTTATCTCTAGCCAAGTGGGAAGAGTACAAAGACATTGCATTCGACAGCTAGGCCAGTGTGATTTCTTAAGATCCTATTTTCTTTGGGTGTGATATTGATTTGAACCTAAAAGTTCTCTTTTCAACTCCTTTCTACTCCTCCCCTCCCCAGTCCATTTAAAAAACAAAAAACAAAAACCTATTATCCTCCATGGATCTTGTTTGGTTTTTGTAATAAATGATGGAATACTGTATTTTAGTGTAATCTAATAAACCCTATCTCCTTTTAAATATAAAGAAATGTAGTGACAATAACACCAATTATAAGAGCTAGTATTCATGGATTAATAGCTATATGCCAGGCTCTGTGCCAATCATTGTACCTGCTTTATCCCATTTCATTTTACCAACCACCCATTGAGATAGGTGCTTTTCTTTTATCCATTTTATTAATGAAGAAACCGAGGCATACAGATATGAACAACTTGCCCAAAGCTAGTAAGGAACCAATAAGAGAACCAGAACTCAACACCTGGTCTGACTTCAAACAAAATATAAATTTCTTAACCGTATTATATTTTGAGCCTGTGTCTCATTTTTGAGTGGCAGGTGGAATTCCTAGGAGAATAGGCCTGTCATTGAAATAAATGGGGAGATGTTATGGGAAGATGCAAACTTATGAAAATATGAATTTACTGGAATGATTTTGATGTACTTATCAGGAAAAGAGTGTTCTTCTCCCCTGCAGTCAAGAAAGAAGTAAACATGAAAAAGATAGACTATTTTCATGGCCATGTCTGTGTGTGTGTTTCCAAACCTTCTGAATTGTTGGATTTGTTCATTCCTGAATAGCTTGTATATGCACAAAGGGGATATGCACACTGTTCAAAAGTAGCGAATAGATTTTGTGTGGATTTTTACCCTGATTATTGCAGAATTGTCTCTCCATTGATGCCATTGACATGGAATGGCTTTCAGGGAAGAACAAGGTACTCTGACAGCCTGGTGTTGCCTCACTGGTACATGAACTTTTTTTTTAAGTTTTTTTTTTTTTTTTTTAAGATTTTATCTCAATAGCTATTTGAAAAAATAAATGAGCACATCAACCCTGTGATTTTACAGGTATTATTGCTTAGATAAAACTAGATTGATCTTTAAAAGGAGGGAGTGAATTTAAAGCCAAAACTCTAAAATTTGAATATGACAGGGAGCACCACAAATAAGGGGACAATTACGAAGTTGATGCATGAAGGCCTGAAGTTTGCAAAAAACTTGGTAGCATAGTGTCTTTCAGCCACTAGCTCATGACAAGCACTGGACTTTTCTTCTGTAGACTGTGGATAAGTAACTTGGACAAATAATAGAATGGAAGGATTAAGGCTGGAATCGACTGTTACCTTATTGTTTCTCTCCTCGTTGCGTTAGGTGATAGAATTTCTTATGTACATAACTATAACTTTTTAAAAAACGTGTTTTTTTTCATTTCCCTCATGAATAGCATTTTCCTTACTTGCAGGCAATGTGTATCCAGTGTAGAATGTTTCTTCAGCTTTTCCCGTCTTTAACATTTCATTTCTCAGGTCCTTTGTGGAACATAAATAACTCCTAGTGTCTCTTTCTTTCCCTCGGCCCTCCCAGCTGGTTCTTCCTTACAGTCAGAGTTGCAGGGCTGCGAAGCAGATAATACAGTCTTGCTTAAGTCAGATAAGATGTTTAAAAATAAAAGATACCACGAGCTACAATTAAGTAATGCCCCAGGGTCAAAGTAATCTCCCTTTCCATAATAGCTGCCTTATTCCAGTGAGAATTCTCAAGTATGAAGTGTGCTGTAGAAAATGTACCTACTTACTCCATTTTTTCCCTTAGATTCAAAATGACATTAAAATTGGAATTAACATAATTTTCTAATATCACATTTGGGATAATTTCATATGTTTACATTTTGGTCTCTGTCTCTTTCTGAGGTTTTCTTTCAGACTCACATCAAATCTTATCAGTGATTAATTCAAGAAAGGATACGGATTCCTTAATTTGTATATTTTATTTCATTTCTTGCATTACATCTTGATGATGACTTTGTTTTAATTGGTAACTGCTTTGCATTTTAAAAAATGAGCCTAACACTCCTCACTGCATATTGAAAATGCAACAAATAAAATGAAGCATGAAGGAGAATTAAAATAATGTGTTTTCCCTCCTTCTTTTTAGATGGTAAGGTGGAAGTTACAAAAGAAGGCGTGAAGCTGTGCACCATGGGCCCAGGGAAGGTGTTCGGGGAGTTGGCGATTCTTTACAACTGCACCCGGACGGCGACCGTCAAGAGTAAGACTTTCATTTTACAGATGCTTTTTTTCCCTAGACCTGTGAGATGTTGATTAACTGCCTCTTGATTTCATCTTTGTAATTTTATTATTCTATATTTTAATTTTTGCTTTCAAATATAGTCGATATATTTGTTTTCCTGCTAAAAAATGTTTGTCAATCAGTTTTGCAGAACTTAAATTTCATTGCTGACTTACGAAAAGTATCCTTTTAACCTAGAATGTGTATGAATTAGGATTAACAAAATGATATCATTTTACAAATTAAAATTAAACAGGAGCAAACCTTTTCTTTTTCTACCTGGAAAGCGTCAGAATCGTATGTAAATAATTTTTACATATCTGCTATCTTGGTTTACATTCCCCACATAAATGCCACTTGTTCATTCTGTGGCTTAGAAAAATTAAGAGGAGAAATGTTCATCTCACTCAAACATCGGGTGGGATATATCCTGAATCCTAAAACTGCTTCTGAGTGTATTCTTGTCTTCAAGCTGCTCATCAAGCTGAATATTGCAGCATTTTTCTTTTCTACTGATTGAGCTTATTTTAAGTCAGGGCGATAAAGCAGCTTGTTTCCCTAATGTTACATATATGTGTATATATGATTTCTCTAGCAACTTTTATTGCTTGGTAGAAGCACCTGCAATAGTCAGAGGGGAAAAAATGTTTTAAATACTGCTTCCTCCTGACTGCAGGATGTAATGAGTGTGTAACAAATAGAGCCGATTGCAACGGCCCACCATGGAAAGCCCATTTTAACTTTAGGCAGACATGTGGGTTTCATGTTTGTAAAGTTCTTCTGATACATTACCCTGTGGATGACAGTAATCATGAATTACTTTGATTGGGTTGTGTCATTGAAAACAAATCTATTGGAAAAATAATGTTGATATCAATTACTTTCATCTGATGTCACTGACTACTTGGTATATATATTTTTTCTCTCAGAAGTATGGCGATGATTGACAATATGATATTGAAACTTGGGTTGTAAAGATCTTAAGGATACATGGCCAGCTGGAGTCCTAGAAATTATCTTACTTGTCTTATTAGTGAATCACCTTTTTATTCATTGAAATCACTGTGACATCAATTACAGTTGGGGTCCCAATAGGATGAGCCCATTTTGGTACTTGATTCTTGATTGCTAAAAGCACAGAACTCTTTTGATTGACAGGCACTACCATGTTTTTATTTCATGTGCTGATTTAATTACATGACTCCAAGAATAATGAAGCTGAAGGAACCATAACAGATTCTGCCAGAACTTTAACTCACTTACAAAGTGCCTTATCTAGGAAAAAGAGCAGTCATGACTCCATTAAGTGAACGGATATTAACTATCATGCTTTATTTTTATGAGAAATGTATTCCTTTTACTGCAAAAAAGAACCAGAACAGAACATTTTGATTGAACAGGCTTTTCTCAGAATTGTGAATAATTTTTGTTGAGTTTAAAATACTTAAAATTTTTAGATATTTCAGTCCGATTTACCACTCATTTAATCTAATTAAACTACAAAATTTCCAAAGGTCAGCGCAGTGTTTAACCTTTGAAATATTTAATTATTATTTCAAAATATTTTAAATAGACTAAATAGTGTATTTAAATAAATTTTACAGCAAAATATTTCTCAGATAAATGCTTTGCTTCATAAAAACTGTCTTATTAGGATCTTAGGAAGTGGTATTAATATGCACTGGCCTCTACTGTACGTCTGTTTGGTAAATTTAAATACACACTATGCATCTGATTCAGCAAGAAGGAACTGGGTGTTGTATGCAAATTATAATCCTAACTTTTGCGATCAAAACATCCATTATTAATGGTAATTAATAACGGAGTATGTTTTTTAACACAGACACAAAGACTTCTGTGTGTGTATGTTTTGTCACTGTACCTACTTAAGATATGGAGGTTGTATTTGAGAAACAGCCTAAAGTTGATGGTGTGCAAATATAATTTATATGTGAAAAGATTTTGTGCATGAGTAAGAATAATGGTTCCTTCCGAATGCTGCGTGAGAACTATAACGTGTGAACTACTTACTGTTCAGCACCTTTTTGTCCCGTCTCTGCTATCCAGGGAGACTATGCTTATGACTAGAGTCCTTAAAAACCACTTATAATTTATGTTTAAGTTATACCCTCAGGCTGATCACTTTATAAATCTGATTAGATTCCATTGCAAGTGCTGCTTGTACCAAACTGCTACAGTCAATGCTATCATACTCTTTACATGTGATATTTTAAAATGTCCTTATGTGGCTTTGTAGCTCTAATCACCTCTCAGAATTCAAGATTGTGTTGACTCCTGTCCATTTCTTCTTAACTGTCATTTTGCCAGGGGTGACCATTTGGAGTAAATTTCAAATTGAATTCATCCACTTGAGTGTAAGAGCCTGAGGAGACAGCTGTGCCTACTCAATAGCTTGTCATGCCTTTTTTCCTCTCTCACTTATCTGGATCTGATTCCCTTTCTCCAACATCATCCACTCTCTTTTACGATTGAAAGCATTAATGATTCCTTTCTATTTCCTTCCTCCCTAAGTCAGCCTGAAATTTTAATGCATTTTTAATCTCACAGTCGTAACTAAATCCTAGGTGGCACAGAAGAGCTCTTTAATATAAGTAAGTCATTTCTTGTTCAAGACAGCACTTTTTGAAATCACATCAGACCATGAATAAATTCCAGTGACTTCTACTAAGGAATTTGATCCTAGCACCTGTGGGTTTTCTTTAACATAGGATATAAAAAATAGTTTTGTAACTATAGTTGTCATACTGTGCACTATTACGTTTCCAGGACTTATTTGTTCTATAACTGGAAGTTTGTACCTTTTGACTGCCTTCACCAGTTTTACCCCCAACTCTCCTCTGATAAACATCAATCTGCTCTCTCATCTATGAACTTGAGCACATTTCTTTCTTTTTTTTTTTTTTTTGATTCCACATACAAGTGAGATAGTATAGTATCTGTCTTTTTCTGTCTGACTTATTTCATGTATCATAGTGCACTCTAGGTCCATCTGTGTTGTCAAAAATGGCAAGATTTTTTTTAATGACTGACTAGTATTTATAGTAATCTGGAAAGAAAACACGCATGGTATGATGCAGCTCTAGATTCACAGCCTTATAAAACAACACCATGGATTTTCCCCTGAGGAATTTGTATACAAAAATATATAAAATCAACATGATATTGGGAAAAAACCTAACAAATATCCTGAGGTCATTCACATCTTAAATAGGCTCAAGTTTTCTTATTAACTGTGATATGAAAATGGCCACTTTGTGTCTATCCAATCACAAACATGCCAGATGCCACAGGGAGGGAAATAATCATTTGTTTTATTAGATTTCCACAACACCAAACAATTACTGTCATCAATGCTGTTTCAATTTCACATTTTGTTTAAATATTTTGGGATTCTGAAAACAAAGAAGAGTTCTACCTACCATCCATTTTCAAACACCACAAGGACAGGAACTTCTAATATGCCCCTTGAAGACCCCTTACCCCTCAATTCCCATACCTGGAAGCCTGTCATTATCAGTTTCCCTGACGTGTCACTCCTGGTTGTGATTTCACTTTCACTACCCTCACAGCTAAAGCCATATCAATTAACACTCACCTGGGCCCCTTGCCTTGCTTGTAGGTCCCAGGTTCTTTAGAATCACAATAGTGGGAAAGTTGAAGTTACTGGAAACCTTAAAAGAGAAAGAAAAAAGACATTTAGTTTACAATGAAAGAGGGATTCAGGGGTGCATACCCTACGCGTGAGTTTGCAAGGACATTCATGTTCTTTTGTCTTACCTGGATTTCCCACAACCAGTTCTCACAACTACACAGGGATTTTTGATTTTTTGAGGTTTGACTCATACGGCTCTTTGCTCCAGCTTCTGTAGTACATGAATTGGTTTTTCTTTGCCTGAAGATACTGAATTGAAGCCTGTCCCTCTTCCTTTGAGTTTCTGGCTCACAATGCCCAAAACCTTAGGCAGCGCGTTATTCTAACAATCTCATTCAACCAGACTTCAATAAAACCCCAAGAATAGAAGGTCTCTCTTTGTAGGAAAATGTCTGGATACCAGTTTAAGATGATTCCCATAGGAAGTTATCTGCAGAGTATGTCTATGGTGGGTGTGAATCGACTTGGACAAAATATCTGAGCAGTTGTTTCTCCTTAGATTATTTATAGCATGTATTTAAAAACTCCTCAGTACTTCCGTACTGACATGAAAGAACCTAAACATTCTACAAGAAGTCTCACAAATTGCTGACTTTAATAACATCTGGTAAAAATATTTTTCTGCCTTAGTTTGAATTCTCTCAAGTTTCCATATTTATACTTTCCTAGGATATTTGGATAGGGAGACGTTGACTAATTAAGATATTTCACTGTGTCGTAGACATTTTAAGAACAAAGTTAAAAGGCTTGGACTTTTTTTTGTTTGTTTTTAAAATAAATTTTGGTCTGTGCAGTAGAGATGGCCTGTGCAATCCCTTGCAGCTCTGTTTCAAACATTACATTATTCAAGCTGACTCACAGAAATCTGCCAACTGTCCAAAACCTAAAAAGATAAATGGCTGGGAGGGGGAGATTTGACCAACATTTCTTACTCTAATACCTCTAGATGTTGCTATAAATGTAATGCTATACCTATCAGGTCAACATACGTGCTTTTTATTGGTAAAGGAGCAAAATAAATGAATGCCAATTTTATTGTTAATAAAAAGAAATAATAGACGCAGCTCATGTATAGTGGCTGTAAAACCAGGTCAATTCCATAAGATGGCCGCATCAATAGGTAAACATTTAGACACTTTTTAGAAAATATCATTGTAGAGTTCCATAAAGTATCATATTTATTATAAAGATATTTCCACGTGTGAAAATGTAGTAACATTGTCTGCAATACAAACAGTTTTCGCATATGCAGCTATTACCTGGGGTTTTAATGAGCAGGAGCAATAATGCGCGGTCACGCTCCAGG